CAACTGGTGCAGTGGAAGCTGAGGTTTCAATACAGTGAACCTGAGATGTTCCTGGGGTCTGGAGTGTAGGATAAGCCAAAATTAAGTCGTTCAAAGTGAAAGACCACACATGCAGGAGGTGCTAGCAATGTTTTAGCTATAAAACCAGAATTAAATGGTGAGGAAAAGGGCTTTAACATGCCAGTTAATCACACAAAGATTGAGCCATTCACTCACTCTCAGAACACAATGCAATCCCAGGATGTATCAGAAGGAATTCTAGTGGAGATACACAGCCTTATGGAAAACGTTAATGCATCAAACCCCTGGTAGGTTCTCCTCTGTAACACTGCGGTTAGAGCCACCCACAGTCATAAAAGGTGACTTTTGTGGTAGTGTGGTGACTGACTGGAACCTTGCCATGCAAAAAAGACTTAACCAACTGGATGGTTTTCTTTTGGCAGGCTGAAGGCCGGGAGGAGGAAGGGCGGCATGGTTGCTTTTCCCATGCCCACCCGATGCACTTTCAGGCAGCCAATGGGCAGAGGTGTGCTGAAGTTAACAGCCATGCTGTCACATGCACCAAGAGCAGACAATCTGGCCATGCTTTATTGCCTGGAGGTGGAGAAGTTCCCAGCTCTTAGCAGAAGGAGGCTTTTGGGTGATGTTCTGAGAGCAGCAGTGTGTTTGTATGTGTCTCAACAATAGATACACACCAACTTGGGTGCCTTGGTTTAGTGTGAGGTGTCCCTGCCCATGGCAGGGGGTTGGAACTGGATGAGCTTAAGGTCCTTTCCAACCCTAACTATTTTGTGATTCTAATAGCCCAGTCCCTGCTGCCCAAAGTGGGTGCTGCAGTGCCAGGGTAGAAACCAGAGTTTCACCAGGGCCCATGTGTGCATCTGTCAGGCTGTTCCTCCAGCTCGTGACATGGGGTTGCAGAGCCTGGTGACTGATCAGTGCTCACATCCATCCTTGCCAAGTCGATGGGCTCTGTGTCTGTGTCACTCTTCCTTAGCAGTGTTTTGTGTCCCTTCAGCTGACTGGGGCCAAGGCATAATAAGATCAAGTGTTTCTGCATCTTTGGAGCTGATCTGATAGATCCCCAGACCTCTGAGGATCCCACAGAGAGCTGAGACCTGCATGGAGTGTGCTTGGGTACAAAACACCCGGAGGGCTCCCATGGGAGGTGAATAAGCCTGAGCCAGTCCTGGGTGTGAAACTTGGAAGTGCCGGTCCTGTGTCCCCTGGCACTTGTGCAAAGGAACTGTTGAGGCTGCAGAGGTGAATTATTGTGGAGCCGAGCAGTGTTTGGCAAGGGCTGTGAATCTGAGCTCAAAGCTGCAGGAAAGCAGTTACAGCTGCTGCTGCTGCAGAGCTGGCCCCTGAAGCCAGAGCCCTGCATCTGCTTGATGCTGCCTTTCACAGCATCCCCAGGCCTGAGCTATTCCTTCTTGTGTGGCGTGGGTAATCCACAGCACCTGGGTGTGCCATCTCCAGAGCCTGAGCTGTGCTTTCAGGTTGGTTTGATTCGTTTTGGAAAGGATTGATAGGATGCCTGCAGCTGCAGATTAGCTTAGCAAGCGCTGAAGACCTTTCAGGTGTATCCTTCTCTTCCCCTGTCTACCCCCCAGCACTCCTGCACAGCAGCTAGTGGGGCTGAGCATCTTTTTATATGGGGTAGAGAAGTTCTGTTTTCATACCTCCTGTTTTTCAGGCTGGTAGATACCAGTATTGTTGAGGATTTTTCTTTGTTGTTTCCTCACACACACTCTCCTGACCTAATTTCCTCTACAGCCTCTCAACCACCAAATTTGTTGTGAGGTGACCAAGGCCCTTTTCTTCTGAAATGTCAAGTGAGGGGAAAAACCCAAGGCTTTGTACCTGTGAGAATCATAGAATCATGGAATGGATTGAGTTCCATCCATCATCCAGTCCCAACCCCATGCCATGGGCAGGGATGCCTCACACTAGGCCATGTTGCCCATGGTCCGTCTGACTTGGCCTTGAACACTGAAGGTCAGGAAATGCAGGAAAGAAACAGAGTCTCATGCTCTTGAGCATTCAGTTGAGCCAGTATGCTCTGAAAGAGTTAAATTGCTGCTTTTCTTAACTTGCAAATACAAGACTTTGGCTTCAGGCAGTTAGTTGCTGCTTGAGAATGGTTTTGTTGATATGCTGCCATCCTCTCCAGTATTTCAAAAGACTTTTACATTAATATTGTATCTGCCCTACAGGTTCATGTGATGAAAGGAAATTTAGAGTCTTGGACAAAAATCTTTCAGTAGGTTGTCTCTTCTTTTTCAGTCCTTCGTCTTCTGTGAGGAGAGGCTTAATCAAGTTATGCCTAGCTTGTGTCTCTCTAACAAGCTTGTTGAATATGCATCTTCAAAGGTAGTCTTCAGTAACATGCAGCTAGCTAATAACAGCAAAGGAAACAGGGCAGGTTCCAAGAGCTGGTTTGTGTCTGAATGCCTGGCAGAGAATCTTTTCCCTGAGCTCCAGGAGAGCCTCGTCTCTTCCGGCCAAAGACCTGACTGAATTCCCCTCGGACCCTGCATCTCTTTCATCTGCAGAGTCCAACGGGTGCCTCCATCCTTAGGGATTTCAGTCTCAGCTTGTCTCCACTCTTCTACAGAGCACTAAGAAATGGGATCCTAGCTTTGTGGTACCAATTTGCACTGATCTTGTGGAACCAGAAGTGCCAGGCTTGGTGTTAAATCAAGGATTTGACTTGCACAAAAGATGGGTCTTCACTAAATACCCATAGGCTGTGCTGTGCTTTGATTTATAAGAGGGTGAGTGCCAGATTTTAATAAGAAGGTCATTATTAATACTTTACTCTTGGGTTTGGCCAGTGTTGGTTTCTCTCTGTAAAACACATACTGTTGAAAATGAGCCATGTTACCAGTTTGTGGTAATTGTCTACACATTGGTGTCAAGCTAGTGACAAGACCAGTCTTTAGCGTGCAGTGAAGCAATGCACCTTTGGTAAAATAACCCTCAAAATTAGCGACGGGGAAGTGATTTTCTTTATTCTTTGGTGCTTGATCTGAGGCAGGTTTGCCACTGTTGTCAGTGGATGGACTCCCAGGGCTCTCACTAAAAGGAATTGTATCTGTTCTTGAAAAGCAGTGGGATGACTGTTTCCATCTCCTCTAATGGAGCACTGTAACGCTAACGCATGCATAAAGGTTTTGCCTTTTTTAGAAGATCAATACAATGAGAGTTGAGCCATTCAAGTCCAGCATCAAAGGAGCAAATACTTGGGAGATACTGTATATTTACAGGGAAGTCTGTCTCATGTTTGGCATTGCAGAGAAATATAAAAGTAATTGTTTAAAACCCTAAATTTTATGGCTCAGTGTTGGTGGCCTCCAATACTAGACGGATCCATAATCCAAATGCAATTAGAGATGTCTTAATACAGTGTTGCTGCTTCACAGGTGCTGTTCTACTCAACTCTTTACATTTTGGTGTGAAACTCTTGAGTTCTCTGTCTGCTGTGATTTTTCCAGTTCCTACTCATAACAAACATTGCAGTTCCAGATTCAGAGCACAACAGGACATGACTTTGTGTTGGTGCTGCTGGTTGCATTAACAGTGGCTATTCATTACCAAAGAAGTTGAAGACTGCTAAAAAGTTGCAGCTTCATGAACGCTGGGGTCTCGGTCATCAGTGCCTTTCAAAATGAACCTCCTGTGTCAGCAGCATTGGAGGCTGGCATTAATCCTGGTGGACTTGAGGCCTGGTTTAACCTTAGTGCTGGGTGGGTAGTGTCCAAGCCACTCTGCTACTCTGTAATGAGTTTATTCTAGTGGGAAATAATCTCATGGTCCTTCAAAAGAAATTCCTAAAGGCAGGAAGGGCTCAGATGCCCCAGCAGAAAGATGCATGTATTTTGTCACAACTACAGAAAATGTTATAATGACAGTGTTAGAATATATATAACGTAACAGTGTTATAATGATAGTGTTAGAATATATCTAAGTGTTATAATGACAGTGTTGGAGTCTTTATAAGGAGCTCTTGCTTCTCTCCATTCCTAAGGATATAATGCAAGATGCGGCAGCATACAGTGAGTGATTTCAGTGAATGGATAATTCAAGTTAGTCTGTTACTTTGTGATGGTCTGTAACTCCAGATAGTGCTCCTTCAGCACTTTCTCATTGTCTCTCAGCTTGGCTGCTATGGTTTGGGTAGGTGAGTAAAGGAGCCATTTGATGGATGGTGTTTTGGGAGAGTCATACTCTACCTGGTGGCCAGTAGGTACAAGTGGAGTCTGCAGGGCTCTGCCCTGGCCCTGTCCTGTTCAACATCTTCAGCAGTGACATGGAGCAGACATCACAGTGCACGCTCAAGTGTGCAGATGACAGCAGCTCTCATGGAGCTGGAGAGCAGAGCTGCCAACCAAGGGTATCTGGGCAGGAACTTCCAGAATTAAGCAAGGACAAATGCCAAGGAAGGAAGGGCCTCTGACAGGGATACAGCCTGAGGACAGAGGGGCTGCTCTGCGGGAAGGGGAGTCCCGGTGGGTGCCAAGAGAGGTGGTTCCATCTCCATCGTTGGAGGGTTTTGAAGCTGGACTATGCAAAACCCTGAGCAGCCCTCGTCTGACCTCATGGCTGAGGCTGCTTTGAGCCAGAGGTTGGACTTCGAGGCTTCCTGAGGCCCCCTTCAACCTGAAATACATTATCCTGTGATTGTGTGACTGCTTACTCCATTTCGGATTGAATTTGCATTTGACATTTGCCTTTACAATTGAATTTGCATGTCTAAAACGTTACATGCTGAGTCTGTTCTGTCTCAAACCCAACTAATGCTTCTTGTGCATGTGTGCGTGTGTGTTCAGTGTGCTGGGTTGTTTTCTGTGCCAGAGAAAATGGGTCCTTTCCCAAGCTCGCCTTCCAAAAGCAATTGCTCTATCACAAGTGTTACTTGCATCTCCGTGCTTATACCTGTCGTGCTTGCTCCTTGTGTAAACTTGCCGCGTGATTAATCCTCTTCTTTGTTTCTACAGAGGGAGAATACATCAAGATGTTCATGCGGGGCCGGCCAATCACGATGTTCATTCCTTCAGATGTAGAAAACTATGATGATATTAGGACAGAGCTGCCTCCTGAGAAGTTAAAACTGGAGTGGGTGTATCCTTGACATCAGGAGTTACTTGTTGGTCCCTTTTTGGTCTTGCCTTCCCCCCCCCCCCATTTCAACTCTGGTCTTGTATTCAGAGGTAAAAATCATGTAGAGTGGGGAAGAAGAGTTCAGTGTAACACAACAATTGAAGTGGTTTGTAGCTGCGATTGAAATGAGTTTAAGCTGCTAAATAGAGAGGCACAGGAAAGCCACGCTTTGTTTTGCTGTTAAACCAGTTGCAGTGTGAAGGAAAGTGTCTTTGGAAGGGTACAGAGTTTCAGAGATGCTTTGCTTTCAGGAGCATGCTTTTACTATCTGTTCTTTTTGAGGGGGTTTAGAGCTATGGAGGATCTTGAATTTCTCATTGTCCTTACCTGTGGAAGTGAGGATTGCAGAAGCAGCCATTCCTTGCACTGCTTCTGCGGTTCACCTCCAAAGTGAAGGGGTTGATGTCTTGGAGACCAGTTTACATTAAACACACTAAATACATTTATCACTTGAAGAGTGGAGTTGGTGTGGGGTTGGTGACAGCTCTCCTGGGTTAGTAGATGAGATGTTAAGTTCATTGTAAGAGATGTGGGTTTGCACACGTTAGGGTTTTCCTGACCCCCTCCATCTCTGCTCATTCTCTCAGTGCAATGTGACGGTGTAAGTGTCTCAGTCCTTCAGTGAAATAACATGTCTAAGCAGCACCTGAGCTCATGGAATAATCCCAAGTTTGATCCCTCTGATGTTGCTGAAGGCAGGAAGATTTTTAGGGATGCTGATGGTGTGCTGTCCTGTGCCAGGATGTGTACAGACAGCGGCTGCCGGTGCCTCTCAGCACACCCATTACTCACGAAGGCATACAGGTATTTTAAGACGCCCTGTGTTACTCACTTTAGGAAAGAAGATTCCTCTATTATTTTTCCTGCTTTTATTAACTAATGGATGCTTGACACAAAGCGTTGGGTACATGGTTCTGAAGAGTTGCTGTGGAGCTCGTGTCCTCTGAGCTTTTCAGTGAGGCTGTGGAAGCGTAGACCATAAAGGCAAAGCTGTGGCTGCCCCATCCCTGGCAGTGCTCAAGGCCAGGCTGGACACAGGGGCTTGGAGCAAGCTGCTCCAGTGGAAGGTGTCCCTGCCCGTGGCAGGGGTTGGAGCTGGAGGAGCTTTAAGGTCCCTTCCAACCGGAAGCAGGCTGGGATTCTGTGATCCTATAAACACTGAAGTTCAGTGGAAATTAAACATCAGAGTTGTGTCACCCCTACTTCTGGAGAGTTACTGTATGAACAGCTACTGTATTAACACATCTGCTGCTTCCTTCTGAGTGTGTGAGGAAGGAAAGAACTGCTGGGGAGCAGGAACCCCACGTGTTTTCTCCCAAGTGAGGCCAGGTTATAGAATGAAGAAAGCAAAAACTTTCTCTCACAAAGCAGTTCCTTTGCACACTCCTAAACACATGCTCCTAGAAAATGCAGCCACTCTTTGCCATTTGTTATGGAGCAGGGGAAACGAAAGGAGATGTACTGGGAACACGTAACCCACGTTTTGCAGTCTCATGGATGCCAGAGCTCAGTGGGGTTGGGTTTTAGCCTTAGCTTTGCATGGGAGAGCTTCTGCTGTGGAAAGGCGTGTTTGCCTAAATCACTAATACTTTTCTGGGATGGATGTTCAAAGATGTCAATCTTACTAAATCCTTATCAATACACTCCCTATTGTATCCAGAACTTTAATGAGATCTGCCTTTCTCCTCTGAGAAGGGATTTAGGATAGCATTCTTTGTGCTTCTGGATAGACAAAAGATGTTCACTGCTTTGCAGCCCTTTGTTTTTGGGAGCTCAGTGGTCTGGTTGGTTTGGGTTTTAATAAAAGGCCGTTCTGGAGTTACTTTTTGTTCCATCAGTGTTTAAAAGAAGAAGAAAGAGAAAAACCTAGTGGTAAAGTAAACAGTGATGGAGAAGAAACAGAGGCATCCTCGTTTTTTCTTGCCTGCAGCATTGTGTTACATCAGCATTCTCGATACCATTTGCTGAGCAGGGGAATAACCTCTGCTTCAGAAGAGCCCTTGTGTTCTGAAACAAACAGAAGACAGTGAGATAGAAATCTGTTTGGCTTTCCATTATCTGCAGAGATGACTGAAGGCAGTGTCCCCCTTTGACCTGTTGTTCAGTTACAGCATGTGTTTGATTTTGCACGTGTTCCTGTGCTGTAGCAGCCCTGTGGCTCGGTGGGGCTGCAGAAGAGGACAGGAGTCTGGTGGGGCATCGGGGCTGCGGTGGTATTTTTGGTAGTCCTTTCCCAAGAGGTCCAGCAGAGGTCCAGCTCTCAGCTTAGGTGATGGCAGTTTAGATACTCTCAAACTGGACTGCCGCATCTGCTTTCGTGTATGGGAAGGGGCCAGCTGCATCCCTCCTGCTTGCTGTGTGTGGATCTCCAACTCCCCTTTATTACCTGGTTAATGAGGAGCTCAGGCTGGAATCCTTTAGCTTAAGTTGCTTAACATAATTCCCATGTTTTCCTTGCTGCTGCAGGTGTATTGCTTGGCATGGGAGTGCAGAGCTCTCGGAAGTGCAGGACATGACAGGAAAATGGCCTTTTTTGAGGCTACAGAGCAACTGTTAACATCTCGAGCTGTTAAGTCGTAGCTGGTGACCCTGGGAACTGATGTGCAGTCAGTCAGCCACATCAACAGTCTAGGGGAAGAAAATACACCTGTTTTCAAAGAAATAATGACTTGTAATAACGCTTGATCAGTGCTAACCAAGGCTGGTTCTCTGGGTAATGCCTCTGAATGTCATTAGCAGCGGGTTTCCTACCACAGTTCATCCCTTTCATATAGTTCTGGTAGACTCAACTAGAGCAATTTTCACTCTGTTGGTGCCTTTTGAGTTCTGTTTGCTTTAAAACCCCTCTAAAACAGTGTAAAGAAATGCTGCCTGTGCTTGGCAGCCACAGTGCAGAAGCCTTTGTGTGCAGGACACTGGGAATGTTAATGCACTTCTTCTAAGAGGCCAAAGGGAAGGAATGCTCTGGTGCTCAGGGTGAAGATGCATAGCTCTGATGCTGTAAGAAAGGTTAAAGCAGAACAGTGAGTCCTGCTGTTACCCAGTGAAATGTCACATGAAGGTTATCATACAATGCCAATGCTGTATTTGTTCTGCTTATATATTTTACTTTTTACATCACTGAGCATCACTTTTTAAGGGATTTGGTTTCTTCAACTTCAGTCGTATGGGGTTGGGTTTGGTTTTTAATTAACACTGTGCTCCTGAAATTGTGCTGGAGTTCCAAAGGGAAAACAGCAAATGCATTCGGTGACATGAGAGCTCCCAGGGAGGCCTTTGAGGGGAAAGCTGTGGTTTGGTTTTGGTTTTATTTTCCTGCTACAGAGTGATGATGAAAACCTTGACTTGAGCAAAATACATGTGTAGATATGGGTATCGTGGAAGAGACTGTCGAGCCAACGTTTACCTCCTCCCTACCGGAGAAATCGTGTACTTCATAGCATCAGTGGTGGTACTATTTAACTATGAGGAGAGAACTCAGCGACACTACTTGGGTCACACAGACTGTGTTAAATGGTTAGTATAGAGCATTTGCATGTAAGTATGTGTGTAATCATGCAGAAGTGTGTTGGTTTTATTCTCTCCTACTGTCTGTATGAGCTCAGTGTCATCATAACTGTGGTTATTTTCTGTTCCATCGGTCCCAGTAGATCTCGCCATAGTAAACACTGCACAAATGAATGGTGCTAGAGCAGTCCATGCTAGGTTAGGCTTTCTGGCTTGAATGTAAACCAGCAGCATACTTGGACAATGTCAGAGTGCCAGATGAGAGAAAAGACCTTTGAGTTAAATTATTCTAAATGGATATCCCAGAAATGAGCAATTGTCAGCCTAATTCTAAAGCAGTGATTTACCCTGCAGTATGGCAAAGGTGTAGTCTTAAAGATGAGAAAACCAAAGGGGAAACAGCATTAATTTTCTCCCTTTTTAATAGATGCCCATCCAAGCATTAGGACTGTCTGGGAGATCAGAAAGACATTTGTAAAGCAACCCAGAGAAGCAGGGAAATTGAAGGCGATGTTATTGTGGGAGCAGCTGTTGACTTTATTTAGTCTGAAGAGTAGAGCACTTGATGCAGTGGTGAATACAAGCTGCCTACTGTACCTCAGTGGAGAAGAGTTGCCATCTAAACCTCGTCTGGCTGGGCTTTGCTGACTGCAATTGCTTCCTGTGGGAGGAATGCTGTCAGTCTCGTGTTCTGCACTTCCATTCAGAAAGCTAGTCTGACTTCTGAGTGGTTTTGGTGTCCAGCATTCTGACCCCTTCAGGCTTTCCCCTGCTCCCCGTTCCTATTCCAGTGGCTTTCTTCACCTTTGTAACCTTATAGAGAAAGCAGGTAAGGAGGTCGGTCAGAAAACCACTAGTACTAAGAGGGTGTATATTGGGAAATGGGGTTTTTCACATCAGCCCCAAAGCAAAATGTAATAAGCAAAAGCAGACTGTTTTACTTACACTTGTAGTGCACCACATGGGAGAACTCAGTTGCTGCAGCTGCATCAGTAACTCATTGCAAGTGGCAGTAATTCCTCGTTCCTGGGTGCACAAGCCACCTTTTCAGCTGTTTTTTCCCCCAGATTCATGCTGTCTGTAGGTTTAGGCGTAAACTATGCTGTGGTGCTTATGAATGTGAAACAGAGCTGCATGTAGGAAGTTCATCATGAGTCAATGTGTACCTTGTTACAAGTGGTCTCCCCGGTGCTGTGCAAACCTTAGATGTGTCAGAGCCCATGTGGAGATGGCTCTTCTGGCGCTCCTGGTTGTGTGTGCCAGTGCCTATTGCAAGAGCCTGGTCCATACCGTGTGTAACTAACTAGCCTGATGAAAACCATTCAAGCTGTCTCATTGAAAGTGGGCTTTAGGATCGTTAAAGTGTCTTCATGGGCTTTTGTTGAGAAAGAAAACTTTACAAAAACCTCAGTTTTGAAGACCTCTGACAGCAAAAGCAAGTCATATTTCTGTCTGTCTTAGTCTTGCAGTTCATCCAGACAAAATTAGAATTGCAACAGGACAGTTAGCTGGAGTGGATAAAGATGGAAGGGTAAGTAATAGAGCTGTTGAGCAGTAGTCTCTTGTTTTGAACCTCAGGAAAAAGCGTGGTTTTGGTTTTGATAATGTCCTCCTCACCTTCTGTTTGCAGTTGAGTTTATGCGCTGCAGTTCCTGAGCTATGCTGCTGTTTCTAAGGTGGCAGCCTGTATTCTAGCAAAGGCCAGTTGCAACTAAGCACTCATCCATACCTCGAAAAGAGCAGAAGCTCAGAACGTCCTTTACCTGGGACGCAGGAAACTCAATTTTAATTTGCAAGCAGACGGGAAGCTTGTCATTGATTCCTAAGGCTGCATCACTTCTGCCACAGTCCTTTCAATAAGTCTTATCCCAGAGGAGAACAAGTCCTCAGTTCTATGGGTCACTCCTAAGGCTTCATGGAAGAGAAAACCAACTTGGAGAACCCATGGGGGGGTGTGTCAAGCCTTCCTGCAAACTTGCCTGTTGGAGAGCAAGTGCATTTAAATGCTCTTGTCTCTGGGTCTTGGGGAGCTGTCACAATTGGAATAATTGGATTATGTTCATGAAGTTAGAAGGAATAAAAGGGTGTGGGGAACCAAAAGATAGAGCCTGTGAGGTGCTTCTGAAGCATGTTAAATATAACCCTTACTCAGATGTTCAACTTGATTTGTTAGGTTTTGTAAGCAGTGAATGCAGGGGGGATTGTATAGATGTTATGATTTCCACTGCCTCTCTTCTTAGGGCTGGTTGGTTTGTTTTCCATCAGTGGGACGATTTATTGTCACTTTCTATGGTGAATGCTGTCCTTAAGCCAGCTTAATCCTCACTTCATTTGTGATCGTTTCACGTTTCTGAAGCTAAGCTGGTTTGGGATCTGTATGAAACACAAGCATGGACATGTTCATTCGCTGCTTGGTGATGGTCAGGGTACTCGCTTCACCAGGGTTTATTTCTTTTCCTACTTTATATATAAACCCCCAGGTTCGATCATTATTATGGGTCGTTGCTTAAGATTGCTAGGGCTGGGTCTGAAATGCAAGATGACTCTTCCATTATTTGTTCAGTGACTTGAACTGGGCAAAGATTTGCCTTCACAGATGCTTTATTTCCTGCCTCAGCAGCACTGCTGCCATGCCTGTAGCCCAGGCACAGGGAGCAAGTTTGTCTTGACTCTCGCCTTTTATGTTTAAGTCACTGCCCGGCAGCATCATTGGCGCAGCTCATCCTGCATTTCGGTCTGCAGCTTGTACCTCAGGTAGCATCTGCTTGACAAAACGTGACACCTGTAGATGATGCTTCCACTGTTGATGACGCTGATTGTCCCCTTGCTCTTTCACACAGCCTCTGCAGCCCCATGTTAGGGTATGGGACTCGGTGAGCCTGGTGACGCTGCAGATTATTGGCCTCGGCACTTTTGAGCGTGGAGTGGGGTGTCTGGATTTTTCCAAAGCGGTAAGATGGCTGCGGTTACTTGCTGGGGTCCTGAATCCAGTTCCTTGTAAATGGGAAGGAAACCTCTGGAGTGTGTTCATGAGGCTGTCCAGATGATCTGTTTGGGAATTTAAAGTGTGTTAGTGAAGTTTATGCATACTTCATGGGGCAGTCCCAGGCACAGCTACAGGCTGGGCAGAGCAGTTTTTCAGAGCAGCCTGAGGAGAAGGACTTGGGGATGTTGGTCAATGAGAAACAGAACATGAGCCCCTTCAGTGTGTGCTTGAGCCCAGAAGCCACCTGTGTGCTGGGTTGCATCAAGAGCAGTGTGAGCAGCAGGCGGGAGGAGGTGATGCTGCCCCTCTGCTCTGCTGAGGCCCCACTTGCAGCACTGTGTGCAGTGCTGGTGTCCTCAGCATAAAGAGGACATGGAGCTGTTGGAGCAAGTGCAGAGGAGGCCAGGAGGATGCTCAGGGGCTGCAGCACCTCCTGTGCAAAGACAGGCTGAGAACATTGGGGCTGTTCAGCCTGGAGAAGAGAAGCTGTGTGGAGACCTCAGAGCAGCTTCCAGTGTCTGAAGGGGGTTACAAGGATGCTGGAGAGGGACTCTTCATCAGGGACTGCAGCAACAGGACAAGGGGTGATCGGTTCAGACTGAAACAGGGCAAGTTCAGGTTAGATCTAAGCAGAAGCTCTTCCCTGTGAGGGTGCTGAGGTGCTGGCACCTTGGGTGTTAAAATCAAGCTTGTTAGTGCGGTTCCTGAAGACGGATTTGAGTGAGTTGATAAAAAAGGTGAGTTTTGTGCTTGCACACAAAGCACAGGAAATAAACAAAAAGCCCCATGTTATCTGGTGCTGGGTTTTTTTTTCCCAAGGAATAATTTGTTCAACTTGTGTCCCTGCTTGTGCATATGCCAAAAAGAAACCGAATTTATCAGACACATCAGTAGCAAACGGAGGTTTCTGCTTGGCATTGATAAAGATTTCATTTCAGGATTGGCAAGGAGCTTATTTGCTTTGGTAAAATCTGTGTCTGTTTTGATCTTTAAGCGGCCTTTGTGTTTCTGCCAAAGCACTGGGATGTGTAGCGCCTTCTGAAAGCCCAGGTTCTGATTCTTGCATCCCAGCAAGAAGCATTAATACATGTGAAGAAGTGCAAAAGTCAGAAAAAGAATGTTTTACTGGTGTTGCTGGGAGAGGAAGAGATTCCCAGGAGAGCCAAGGTGGGAAGGGAGGTCTGGAGGTCACCTCATCCAGCATCCTGCCCCCAGCAGGCTCAGCCAGAGCCGCTGCTCAGGGCTGTGGTCCAGCTGGGTTCTGGGGATTGCCAATGATGGAGATTGAACAGGGCGACCTGTTGAAACTAAATCCTGCCTCTCCCTTGCAGCAGTTTCACTTGTGGTGTTGCTGGGTTAGTTAGAGCTAGGTTTTGTCTTTCAGTACGTAATGGGAAGTTGGGGGTTGCAGTTAGGGGTAGCATAAATCAAGTAGAATGATTTGAAAGGAGCTCTGTCATGCCTGTCAATCCAATAAACCAGTAACACTGGTGAACTCTGATACAGTTGTTTTCAAGGTGAATAAATACATGTTCCATCACAAACACTAGGGTATTTCTGAGGGCTGGATTTTGGGTTTTATTAGTTCCTTTTTGCAGCTGAGCCTGATTTTGATACCTTATTACAGTCTCACGTGTTCCCTCACTAGAATGAAACGGTGAATGTGCAGTATCTAGAGCTGTGTCCCGCACAGTTCCATCAACCCATGCAAGAGCTGTGTCCAGCACCAAGTACTGTCTTTGAGTTTATTCCTCTTCATTGTTGACAAGTATATTTGCATACTGCTGCTTGTCCACAGGTGCCAGTCTTTCTGCTCTGTAAGCCTCATTGTATTCAGAAAGTGTTAACTTTATAGCATATACATCAACCTTACAGTCATTTTAAACAGGCTTGCTTAATTTATGTTTGTACCGCTAAGGGTTTTTCAATAGAGACCTGCCCTGTCTCTAAACAGTATGATAGGACTTTGTCAGCGCTTCTTTCTCTGTCTTTCACCTCTAGGACTCTGGTACTCATCTGTGTGTAATCGACGACTCCAATGAGCACATGCTCACTGTGTGGGATTGGCAGAGGAAATCCAAAATAGCAGAAATCAAGGTAATCCTTGCACAGATTCCTCCCTACCCTGAAATAAAGGTGGGTTTATTCCCATGTATACAACAGTTTGTGAGAGACACGTTTAATCTTGCTTGGAAACAGCAACTGTGGAATACACTGTGTAAGGGCGCAAAGGAAACGTGTTCTGAACTTTTACACTGGAGGAGTTTTGAGTATTGGAGCGCTTGCAAATGACAGTTTACTTCTCCCTAAGAGCCAACTCAAATCCATTCTCTAACATTCTCTGGATTTAAAAATCAGTGAATGCTGGGAGCTTTCAGAAGCTGCAGTGATGGCTCAGGCTGGAGTTGGTGGCTTAAAACAACCTAAACACATACAAACTTCTCTTGTCTGACTCCAGTTCCAGGCAATGATGTGTCTCTTCTCATGTGAGGCCCACTGGTAGGTACTTCTGCAGGTTGCAGTTGTCTCTGCTCTCCTGTTTCTTTTGTAACCACCTCGATTTCTGATCAGGAGAAATGCTGAGTGGTGTGCTCAGTGTTCAGGTGAAGTTCATTCCATTGGAAGGACCATGTCTAATGGTAAATTTCTATTGAAGACTGTATTTTGAGACAGCTTGCTTTACCTTATACAACACCGAGCAAGGAGACAGTACTTGGATGTGGAACTAAGTACTTAATCATGGGTCAGCAAGCGGAATGCTCTACAAGCATATGTCTCTATATGATCACAAACTTGCAGCTTCACATAACAGAATCGTGTTGGCTTGACCCATTTTCTTTGACCCATACTAGTTGTATTTCCTATTTCACTTGCACTGGTTTGACTTCTTTTACTCTCCAGGGATTTCAGTTTGGATCAAAACAATAGGGCAGGGTCAGCTTGCCCTTCCTCCCTTTTAGGCCTGATCTTGCAATACCTTAAGCATCTCCTGTGTAAGCAGAGTTTTCTCCCTTGGGCTCAGGTGCGGAACAGAAGCCTGTTCTCAGCTGAGCTCCATTACATTTCTCAGTCCTCAGTTTCCATCTGATCTGTGGCTAGAGCGGATCTGCTCACATGGAGGAAGTTGTGTGTGAGGAGCAGAATTCAGTTAATGTGGCCGTCAACAGAAAGTGAAGGTTGTTTTCTGAAGTGAGCCAAAAAATGGTGAGTTAGGAAAGGGCGCTCCCACACGTGCTGGTTCAGCAGCACTTTTACATATACTTCACCAAAGCACAGGCTTAGGTGCCATAGAAGTAAATGCACTGATGCAGTGTGTTCTGTAGAGCCATTGCCTCCAGGAGGCTGTCTTTTAAGACAGTTTGGTTGAATATACATTGGAAGTTAGATACTCGGTTTGCAAAGGGTGAAAACCACTCAGTGATGTGTTAGTAATTCCGTAACAGTGTTTGCAGCCAGTAAAAATGCAAAGGTGGGACTCAGTGCTTCCGAGTTTTGAGATCTGCAGGCTTCTCTTCGGGAGGAGGAAAGAACCAAAGGGACTTCTGACGGAATTTTGGAAGAAAATGAGAGATAAAATCCTTCTATGTTACCATTGTCCCACTTGCCTCTGGCACGCCTCTGTTATCCAGAAGAGAAAACCAGTCTGTGTAAAGACTAAGCAAGTATCTTTTATACATTGTTCATTTTCCATTGCAGAAATCTGAGCTGTTGCAGAGCGTGGAAGCTTTTGTGATTTAAAAAGTGAATGTAAAACCCTGACTCTTCTACTCAAGTTTTATAAAGATTTGTTACGAATGTAAACTGTCAGCATAAAGTTACGTGTGGGCATTCAGACAACTGATTCATCACAGAACACTTACATTCTTTCAAGCATGCAGCGAGCTGTTTAGTTCCTCCTATCTCTGTTCTGAACCTCAGTATTTGGTATCTGTTTCTAGTAGTTAATGTCCCACCTGAATAAACATTATTCCTGTTATTCTTGCAGACTACAAATGAAGTTGTTCTTGCTGTAGAATTCCATCCAACTGATGCAAATACCATCATAACATGTGGCAAATCTCATATCTTTTTCTGGACCTGGAGTGGCAATTCATTATCAAGGAAGCAAGGGATATTTGGGGTAAGAATATCTTGATGGCATGTCAGTTTTAAACCAACAGAATGATCTGCTTATGCTTCTTATACATTTGCTCTGTTGTTCCCATGTACTGTTGGAGAAGAGGGGTGAAGAAACAACAGAGGTTAAGTTGTGCTCAGGTGTATGCAGGGTGTCTGGGGGTGGATGCATTATGCTACTGCTGGAAGGAGTCCAAGCAATTATCCCTTTCTTTTTGCTTTTCAGAAATACGAGAAACCCAAATTTGTTCAGTGTTTGGCATTTTTGGGAAATGGTGACGTGCTCACTGGAGACTCAGGTGGGATAATACTTATATGGGGCAAAACTACTGTAGAATCCACTCCAGGAAAAGGACCTAAAGGTAGGAGCCACTCACAGTTAATCACAGATTTTAGCTAGGCTGTAGAATAGAAACATAAAGGGTTGCATTAGAAAAGGAGCGGGGGAGCAGGCATGACTAAGGGTGTACACTGCCCATTGCTAACTGGTGGTGTTGATGTCCTTCAGGCCTCATGTGTTTGTTGACTCAGGAGCAATCTGCTTTCTCAGTAATTAATGAGGCTGTGCCTGAAATGAAGGAAAACTTCCTCATTTAAGCATCTCACATCTCAGACCGTGGGCAGTTCGTCAGCTTTGCTTTCATGCTGAGGCTGTAGGATCAGTTTGAGGATTCTGCAGGCTGCCTCTGCCTCTTAAGGCGTATGCTGTGCCATGCGTAGTCTCAGAGGAACACCACAAAGTGTTGAAGTTAATGTGAACAGGACTTATATGCAAAGGAAAAACACGGTACGTAGTTGTACCAGTTGCACAAACAGCAGTGTCTGGTTTAGCAGATACTCAAGTCTTGGCTGTAAAATAGACCTTAAAACCCATCTGATCTGAAATTTGGGTTAAACATCCTCTTTAGGGCAAAGCTATTGCGAGAAAGTAAGGAAAATGATTTGTTACCCAACAAATGCAGACCTGGCGCAGCTGAGCCCTAAGATAACTTATAAATGCAAGGATAATTTATTGCACTTGGCAGCTATTTCAAACACTCTGGTTTAAATGGGTATGCCAGGAAAATAGTCCTGTCAAAAGTAAGTTTTTAATGGTAAGTCTGGTTTTGTAGGTAAATCTTTTTCTTGCCTTTGAAGCTGACTGCAGTGGAAAACTAATTTAACACATTATCTGACATTCCTGTGTCAAAGTAACCTTTTCCCAGTATAATCTTAAAAGATACTGAATAGAACATTAATTTACATTAGCTAATTACATGTGGGATTCATGAGTTGGGATCTGTTGATGGGTTTATCACATTAGATAGGTCACGGGGCTTGCTCTCAAACTCCTTGCCCAGGGAGAGAGCAGGCTGACCTGAACTGACCTGAGACATAGGCAGAGGCAGCAAAGTTAACCTGGGGTGTATCTGGGGGATGGTTTAGGCTTCTTCTGTGATTGCAATTTGAAAATATGCAAGTCTCAAAGCACCAGATTCCCTCTTTCCTAAACGTACGCTTTCCTACAGCAGCTCCTTTGACATCAAGACCTGATTTGGATGCTAAAGGCTTCCTTTGCTACCTGTTCAAGTTTCTCATCTCTCTTTCATTCTTCCTAGTGTTTTCCTTTGTGTAGACTGCTGTATTGATAATGTCAAATGCTGGTCCTATTGTTTTTAAGCATAGCAATATCCAAATATCCAGCATTAGGTTTTAGGTTCATGCATCCTGGAAACTTTGCTATAAACAATGCACTTTGTATTCCCATGAGACTATAGACAACAAGTCTTTTGAGTTTGTTTTAATAAAACAGCTTTAATTCTTTCCTCGTAATGACTCACTGAGTATTTCTCGACTCTAAAGGCCAGTCTCTTTTGCATCTGGAAAGCTGTGTTCTTTCGGAAGGCAGAGAAACGAAAGTAGTTTGCAAATAGTTGTTCTTGCCTTCACAGCCTGTAGGACAATCAGTCACAAAAACGTTTCTCTTCAGAAAGGCATGTGCTTGATCATTTTGTCCTGTAAGAAAACACTACCACCTTGTGTCTGCTATACTAATGCAATACTAATAGCCTGACAGTCCAAAAGGCATTATTTATTGCTCACAGTTACTTCCTTGCCCTACCAAGAGGCACAGCTTCTTGTAAAGCCCAGCTGGAAAACCTATGTTCCCTATTGTTTTCTTTCTGTGCATGTAGGTGTGTATCAGATAAGCAGACAAATCAAAGCCCACGATGGCAGTGTGTTCACACTCTGTCAGATGAGGAATGGGATGCTGCTAACTGGAGGTGGGAAAGACCGGAAGATCATCCTGTGGGATCATGATTTGAATCCTGAAAGGGAAATTGAGGTAAGAAAGCAAGAGTGACAAGGGAATTGCCAGGAGCCGGGGACTGACTGGCAAGAGATCCTCCCCACGCTTTGGAGGATCAGTAGTTAGGATGATAGGATATCTTCTGATTGCTGTTTTTTTAAGTGGATGGCAATGCTTATGTATAATATACAGATGTTCACATTTTCAGCCTATAGGTGAGCCCCTATGAGGCTACAGTTCCCCTCTCTTTAATTTGAACAGAAATGTTAAGGTTTTCCTTTCCTCCAAGCCCTCCCTTATGTTTTGGCGGTTTGGTTTGGTTTTAATTAATCCCTTTTCAAGGACAGCTTTTAGTATTGCGTGGGGTTTGGTTAGGTTTGCCTGTCTGGAGAAATACAAGGTTACCAAAGGGGGGTTGACATAAGGCAGACAGTCCAGGGAATACATATGGGCATGCTGTAAGAATTAATGATTCATAGGCTATGTCAGGAGCTTCTTTTAACTTTATGCTAAACCAGGTTAATGAATATGTATGGCTTTGTGATTTGGCTGTATGGCAGTGGTAGGTAAATGGGGATGGACTGGAAAAATAATGGACATCATGGATTTTAAAGTCCTTTTTTTTCCATGATAATAGGATGAGCTCTCGAAATAATAGATTCTTCTTAAGCAGTTGTTCTAATAATGGTTTACCCTACTTATCCCATGTCCATCTATAGCAGCATTTTTGACTTAACACATATATTAAGTTCCATCTAGAGTTTATTACTTTAAATCTAATATTGACCTTTAGAAATCATGACCAAGAAGTGACTATCATATACAACTCTTAGGCTTAAGTAACAGACTCTGTTCACATCAGTGCTGTTCTTTTCCTTTTGTTAGTAATGTTATGTTAAAGCTGATTTTTTGGGGGTTGAGAAGTATTACCAGAACCCTGACAGACAACTTCCTGAATGCTGGCACTGATTCCTCTGTCTTGGGTGGCTAAAATAAGTGTATTCTCTAAAGAGAGAGAATTGAGAAAACCAAACAACTGCACGCTGTAAAATAAAGCAGTGCCTTAGGATTCAAGCATGCAGTAAACAAACTCAATAGAGATCAGGTGCATTGCAGACATAAAGCATAGGAACATTTACTAGAGGCTAATCGGGAAGCATTAGGAAAATCAGGAAGCGTTTACTGCCTTAGTTTTCACAAGATGTATTGAAAAGGAAGCAGTAGTTGTGCGTTGTTCCTGCCCTTGTGAGCTGAAGGTTGTGGAGTGCATTTGTTCAGTGTATTTGACACTTAAGAATCCATGTAATTAAATTTGTAAGACACATTAAAAGGGCATAATTGTGATTGTCTTGGAGTGAGATCACCTTGTACGCTCGTACTGAGCAAAGGAATGAGGTAGGTTTTGGGTCAAGGCCTGGTCTAGTGTTACAGGATTACATGGCTCCTTTCAACTGGGAGAGCTGCAGTCCTGGTACTGTCATCGTTGCACTGTTTGTGGCCTTCAGGAGTGAGCAACCCCAGAATGCATGATGTGGTTTCTTGTGTCTCTTCTCCTAGGTTCCTGACCAGTATGGAACAATCAGAGCAGTAGCAGAAGGAAAAGCAGATCAGTTCTTAGTGGGTACTTCACGGAACTTTGTCTTGCGGGGCACATTTAATGACGGTTTCCTGGTAGAGGTACAGGTGAGCACAGCTTGGTTGAAGCTATAACCCAACAGTGGAAAGGCTTTCCCTGCTGGTGGGTTATTTTAGGGGAGCCTTTATTCCGTTCATTGTTAAATCCCGTGTGTTTTCTTCCCAGGGACATACAGATGAACTCTGGGGACTGGCATCCCATCCTTTCAAAGACCTATTCTTAACATGTGCCCAAGATAGGCAAGTTTGTATGTGGAATTCTGTGGACCACACACTGGAATGGACCAGGCTGCTAGATGTATGTAACCCTTTAGTGTTAAGCAGAAAACTGAAAAATGGGAGAAAAAAATTGGTTTCTGCAACACCATTGTCGTCCCATCTGATTGCAAGAGGAGCAAAAATCCTGTAGCTCCGGCTTTAGAAACAGCTATTTGGAAGCTTTGATAAACTTAACTAAGCTGATCAGACAATGCATAGACTGTAATCTGGTTACTGCTTCTGATGACATCCATGCAGTCCAAGCTGAATAATACTTAGTCCTTTGTTCTTGTTCAGTTTAACTTTTTTCCCCAGTTACTCAGGCAGTTGAAACGGGTCATTAGAGAGTTGTGCAAGGTTGTCCTTCCTTATTGTCATTGTCTATTTTGCGTTTTGCCTAGTTCTGTCCTAATGCCCAAGCAAAAGTATGTTTTTACACAGAAACTGAGGCTTTTTTACTTTCAGGAATCCCATGTAGTGCATGTCATTAGGAGAGGATTGGGAGCGTGCTGCTACCTGATTGTTTTTGCCTCAATGAGTTCACCTCAGACTTGCAGGGTAGCTTTGTTACAAGGAGAGCTGTTTAACTGCAAGAAGCACAAGGGTGATTGATGCGTCTGTGCTTCCCCACACAGGAACCAGGGCACTGTGCTGACTTCCATCCCAGCGGAGCAGTGGTCGCGATAGGAACACACTCGGGCAGGTAAACGCCTTTGAAGTGACTTGTGATGATTGCAGGTTTAAAGGAGACAGTTTGATACTGTGCATGGTGTATATATATGAATTAACTTGCTTTTTATTTGTGCTTGAGGTTATGCAGCCTAAAAAGCTTGGGGGAAGAGGGCAGGTCTTTCTTACATGGGTTAGACAAAGGCAGAAGGTTACTTGCCTGTTGATAGTCTGTTTTGGTTTTAACTACTCTTTCATGAAAGCCCAGATCTTGAGTTTGGCTTGTTCAACTACTGTTTTGGTAGAGGGTTCTATGAGCACTCCTTCATTGCCTTTACCAAGTATCATATATTTTAATAGTGTGTGTGTATGTTATAATATCTTGTAAGACAGGTAGAGTTCAGATCTTTCTCTTTCCCAAACCAAACAACACCTGCAGCCTCCTGTATTGACATGGAGAGGCAAGTGCGTTTGTGTAAGACAGCGTTCAACGTGGCATACTGCTGCAATGAAGTGCTCTTGAGCTGTTCCTATTCTTCCTGAAATCACTGCATATTGAGAAGTTATCAAAAACCAAGCTGAATCTTTGAATTCCGGCTCCTTTTAGTGGTGGACAAACCTTGTGTTACTTCATAGTCCAACTCTGGCTTGATACCCTCTCCCAGCAAAGGAGTCTCATGCAATGTCTTTTTAGCAAGTAGTAACTAAAAGGAGCAAAAGGCTATTCATAGCATTAGAACAGTGAGAAGGGCAGATACTGAAGCTACTAGCATGTTTATCCTGTTCTTCAGTTACACCTTACGGTTAACAACTCAGTGATGCATAGTGCATGTAAGAAGATGGGGAGTGATTTGTGTGTGCTTATCTCCCCTCACCCCCCCAAATCCTTTCATACCTAACTTCATGCCTAAAAATCATTGAAAGTTTGGTTCTTAGAAACTGCTGAGCATGTGCAGCATCCCTAGATTGTCCTGGAAACATAAGATGTTGAGGAGTTTCATAGGGAATTGCATTCTACAAAGTGAAGGTGCAGTCTGCACTGAATTCATTAGCTCTAGCAGCAGGCTAGGAACCTAGTTTTCACCTTCCTGAGAAAAATCTTCCTGAATTCTCATGTATTTGGGCTCCACATTGTCCCTTTCCTCTTCTTCATCTCTTTCTATTTATAACCTTGAATTAAACAAGTGTTTCTACCTTGATTAAACAGAGCAGAAGATACTGGCCGAATAGTACTTGAAACAGGGAAAAGGGAAAAGAAGGTCAGGCTCCATGTTTTATGAGTTACTAGCCATGTTTGAAATCACCTCAAAGCACAATCAAGGTATATGGAGGGGCTGAAGCATTCAGGCTGTTGTTTGCTTCTGATTGACTCCCACACACCCCCTTCCCAGACCATTTACCATCACGTTTTCAGTTCAGCATTCTCAGTTCTAGTTCTTCCTTTTCAGTTACTTGAGGCAAGCAGTTTATTCTGTGTTGGATGGGTTTGTGGTGGTGGCCTTGGGTTTGGGTTTGTTTGGGATTTCAATCTGTTCTTCTTGGAACCAAGCAGTTCCATTCTCGCTATTATGTTTTATTGAGTTCTGAAATGGCGTGATTTAGTGCTAGGTTTGAGATACACAAACGCAGCTGAATTGAAACGAGGCCTGGTCAGTGTCCAAGTAGACAAGGAATAAAGGGAGTTGTGAATCAAGATAAACAGACCAGTTTCAGATTTACTGCCTGACCAGGATCAGTGCACGGTACTTTCTGTGCCAGAACAAATGGTCCAAGAGACTTATTCCCCAGAGTAAAAGGGCTTTGTGATACATCTTGATTAATGTATAAGAAAATAATCTCAGACCCATAACAGGTCATTTAATAACTTGATTCATAGCCCCAAATGCTTAAAGCAAATATTAAAGGAGTCTAATCTCTTTAGGACCTAATAAACCAAACCCTTGGATATGTCCATCTGTTGCTGTTCTAGTGGAGCTCTTCTTCCAGTGTGGAGGTCAGTCAGACAGGGCTAGGGAATGGAGCATTAGGAAAGCTGGGTTTGATGGTTCAGATTGCAACATCTGAAGAAAACAGCATTTTCTGCCTCTCTTTCCATTCTTGTTGGTTGGTTCCCAGTGGTGTGTTTTTACCAGGCTAACCCATCATCACGGCTCTGGTGTGTTTTTCACATACCACTTCCCATGATGAGTACTGAGGTATCATTATATATCCAGAAAGGCATCATTTCCCTTTTTTGGGCTGCAGGCAAATGGTCTGCTGCAGGTTTTGTTACCACTTCTTCGGGTGCCTGCTGTGTGCCTGATACCAGTTTTCTGGGATCAAGCCTGGTTTGAAGACAACTGTTTATGGATCCTGCTGTTTGCTGGGAATGCACAGCTGGAAAACTAAAAAGGGCTGGCAGCTGGAAATCCTACTGGAAGAGTGGAGTTTTCAAGGCACTATGCAAATCCTTTTGCCATGCTGCAGGGAAGTAGACATTTCTATGCCGAGTCATGTAGAAGAGTATCTTGAGTGCTATGCATACGAGTACTCAAATGCACTGCAGAAAGAACTAAATCCACCATTATTGAGAAAACTGAAAGGTGAAGGACAAGACCAGCATAAGCCAGAGCCATAGGTGGGTTAAATCAGTCAACAGAGCTATTGAGATTTACACCAGTTCAGCATCTGTTGTGGTTTTAAGATGAAGAAGCCCAAGTATCCCAGGGAACCAGTGCTGTCAGGTGGATTGGTTTGTTCACTCTCTCGTAAGTGCCATCACTGAAGTGAACCATCAGTGGTTCAGCGTTCAGTGTTAAAGGTGGGAATTGGAGGTATAAGTGCACAACTATAGTAACTACTTTAGGACGTTTCCCTGGTGATTTAATCAGAAAGTATTTGTTTCTGAAAGCCTGTTTTTTAGCTAGGTTATTGGTGTGGTTTTTAAAGGGAAGAAGAGAGATGCCACGGCACTGGGAGAGGTGGGAAGATTGAACAGAGCAGGTCTCATTCCATCAGACTAGATGTGACCTGTGCTCCCGTTCTTAAGCTCTGTTACCAAGACTGTCACAGTGCACTGGGCTCTTCCCATGCCCAGCTAAGATTGCTGCTGCTATCTCGTGTTCAGAAGAAGTTCTGGAGGAGGACTGATGCCACAAAAGGCTGTCTCCTAATGCCAGATGATGTTCCCTGTGCACTCTGAAGAGCAGCAGCAGTTTTGCATTGGATTTGATACCACAGTGCTAACTGTGCTTTCAGTCAAATACAGGAGGCTTGCATGGTTGTGAACCATCGAACGTCAGTAGATGGTTGTTCCTTCTTTGATAATATTATGCATAGAAACGGAAAGGATTGAAAGGGAAAATACCAAATTAGATAAAAGTTTTATGTTTACAAGGAGCATGGAAGTGTTTTCTACCCCCTCCTGCTGCTCCTGTTTTTTAGGGGTTTTTAGCTTCCCTTAATACGAATTGAAAGATCAGCTTTTATATCAAAGGTGTTTTTCCAAATGGGGAAGAAGTAGTAGATGAAAATTCAGCTGTAGCCTTAAGGCTTCAGGATGATGAGGGGCAGTCATTAGCTGTTCGGTGGCAGACATTACGGTGATCACTGCAGTGTTCAAGGGAGGGGGGGAACACAGGCCCTATCTAGAACCTTTAGATAGTCTTCATAGAAGGCAGAAGCTCTTCCCTGTGAGGGTGCTGAGGCGCTGGCACAGGGTGCCCAGAGGAGCTGTGGCTGCCCCATCCCTGGCAGTGTTCAAGGCCAGGTTGGACACAGGGGCTTGGAGCAAGCTGCTCCAGTGGAAGGGGACCCTGCCCGTGGCAGGGGTTGGGACTGGTTGGAGCTTTAAGTCCCTTCCAACCCAAACCAGTCTGGGATTCTGTGAGACTCCTTTCACTTTCTGAACCAGGAAAGCTTTCCATTAAAACCAGAGGTTTGCTGTGGTGCCCTAGAGGGGCTAGCATGAGACAGTGAAGTCATGCAGTGATTATTGCTCTTTTTCTTGCTTTGTTTAGTGGAATTCTCACAGGAATTCCCTCTTTCTCCCTCTCTAGGTGGTTTGTTCTGGATGCGGAAACGAGGGATCTGGTTTCAATACACACTGATGGCAATGAGCAGCTCTCGGTGATGCGCTACTCAGTAGGTAGGCAGCCTTTTCTAGTCACAGTAATTGGTGATTAATGTGATGTCTGTTCTGTTGACCCATCTTAAACAGCACCCCAGAGTCACTAGAGAAGGCAGAGCTTTGGAAAAGATCTGTAAGGTGCTTAATCCTTAACTGAATATTGCTTAAAGATTTGCCTGTGTATGCTACATCCTGGAGTCCTGCAGCTATAAACTCTACAGCCGCCTTTTCCAGCTTTTCCTTCATGTTGCACTCTGCTGGTGTCAGTAATAATATCTTATATAAGTAAATATAAGGAAAATTAGCAGTATTAGTGATATTGTTCCCACAAAAATTAGCATTTCTCAGCTAAATAGTTAATGGGTTAACAGAAAAGTCTGTCAAAAGGTGTGATGTTTCATATCCCTCTTAGTTAATTTTCATGTTTGTTGATACTAAACCATAAAACGGAGCTCAGGTCTGTCTGAAACTCAGCTGGTTATTAAGTATTTACTATGGGATTACAGGGAGTTCGGGCCAGGACTGAGTGTCCTCTTCAGACATGACATGACAGATCATCAAGGGCTGGCTCCTCACTGTTAAAAGCACTGATGTTCATGATCAAAAGCATTGAAGTTCATGGACACTAGAGGCATTTGATCATGATTCACAGCAACTCGTGTCCATGTGCTTTGGTTTTAAGTGAGGACAATGCAGTTAGAAGACTGCTTATGATGTTTGAATGCTCCACGTCGTCTTTAGGTGTTAGTCAGTGCTGATTCATATGCACTCCCTAGCTCCACGGCTGAGCTAACCATAGACTGATTTGTGTGATGCAGAACCCTCAGGCTGCCTGCTGTTGACAGGAAATCCAGTGCAATCTGAAGCTTTATCCCCTGTCCATTGGGAAGTTCCTTAAAAAAAGCAGAAGTGAAAGAACTTGCTCCAAAAACACACCCCCAAAGTCAATAGACAGCAACTGAAGAATGATTTAAGGTTGTGTGTCCTTAACTAAAGTTTGTAAGCAGTTGTCATTGAGACGATCGCCTTAGTGATGATCAGTCTGAAATCATTAACGTGTGGAAAACAGGCATGCTGTTAACTCATAGCAAATCTCTTGTGTTGTAGATGGCACCTTACTTGCAGTTGGATCCCACGACAACTTCATTTACCTCTACGTAGTAACAGAAAATGGAAGAAAGTATAGCAGATACGGAAAATGCACTGTAAGTTTTGGAGCAAACACAGTCAGCAGTTCTTGTATTTAGGTGTTCTACAGACACTGAGATGTTAAGCAGTGGAACTCTATGGGCTGATACTATTCTGGTTTTAGGTTTTGCTTCATGTTTTCTGGTCCAGTGTCCATGGCAGGGGACTGGCACTAGATGAGCTTAAGGTCCTTTCCAACCCAAACCATTCTGCAATTCTATGTATGTAATATTTAGTTTGCTATGTACTTCAAGGTCTCTGTGAGCTCTTTGAAGATGTATGAGACCATTTCTTTCTGTATATTGTATGTCCTACATGTATCAGGAGAGAGCATATTTGGATTTAAACCAGCACCTCTATGTCTGTTTGCCAGGGGCTTGTCAAAACTGGGATGGGAGCAATAGGCACTGTAATACTCAGGCAGCAGCATTAAGGCTTCGAAGCAGGTTTCTGTTAACTGTATCTGTCATTCTGAGTGCCTGTATGTAGAAGCCAGACTTGAGAACCTGGTTTTGGTGGAGCCCGAGCTCCCCTGAGCACGGCAGCTTGAGCAGAAGGTATCAGTGTGTTAGCTGTCTGGGATGATGATCCCATTTCCTATGGCTGTACCCTCCCTGCCACCACCTGCCAGCACGCTGGGTCTATCCCAGCTTGACGCTAAGCAGGAGGCATGCCCAGGACCCGGAGCGCTGTCCTGGTGCTGGCACCGCATCCTGCTGGCGTTCTGCTGTCATTCAGTAGCCTCGCGGGTGACCTCCAAGTAGTATGACTCAGTTCTCCTGGTGAGTCAACTTCTGGCTGTTTCTTCCAACTTGAATACGTTACTTGAATGCTTTCAGGAGGACTTGATCTACCGCAGCAGCATCAGCTTATGCACAAGGGCTCTATGCCCACTGCTACGTTTAAACCCCTTTCAGTCCCAGGCAGGCTTGCTGCTGCTGCCAGAGAGGCGAGCTGTGACCTGAGAGCGTGCTTCCAGTGAGGGACAGTGCTGGTTGTGACCAGAAGGCATTTCAGATGAGCTGAAACAACCGTTTTGGGTGGTGCAGCTGTTTCCTGAGGGCTCCAGCTATGCAGTCAGCAATGGGAAGGTATGGGCTGGGGTAGGGACTTCCAGCATGTCAGCCGCTCCAGCGTAGCTGGTGCTGTCTCCATTTGCCTTGCATCAGAGCGAGTTGTTAGCAAAGGAGAAGCAAGTGCCATGTGTTCACTGAAGGGTGAGAGCCCCAGGGGCAGCCACACTGAAGCGTTCAGTGCACTGACCTTCACCTGAAATAAGTGATGTGCCTGTCTTACAGGCTGTGGGCTTTTCAGTCCTTGCACTGTCTAAGTCTGAAACAGATGAACAGTCCCAGGGAAGGAGAGGATGTCCATTTAGTCAGATAGTTTTATCAGCCAGTGAAGAGTAATTATGTTCATTCTATATAAAGGTACAGAAAAGGAAAGAGGGAAGAAATGTTGCCTCATCAGTGGGCAGGCCCCAAAGAAAGATTGAAATGGAAAATGGGATCCTCCTGTTGCAAATGCGGTGACAACGTTCTGTTCCAGTTCATCATCATTCAGTGGTTGCTGCCTGAAGGCATTTTGCAGCGTGGAGCCCCTTCCCTACCACCCTCAGGAATTCTGACAGCTGCCAAATGTCTGGCAGGGGTTGGGAAATGACTGACCAGTTCTTTTCCATGTTGGAGTTCGCTTGCAAAGACTTGTCAGGGAAGTGCGGGGTGAATCCTGGTCAGCTGTGCATTGTTTCCTTGTTTCAAAACACCGAGTGTGAGCTTTGGTATCGTGTTTACTCCACCATGGCTGCGGAGCAGTTATGGCAGTGCATGGTTCCTGTACTTGAGCAGAGACTAGTTCATAAGTAAATGAATCCTAAAGGTTAGTTTTAATCCAGAGCATCTCGTAGCTCTCTACAGAGGAAGTTGGGATGGTGGGTGCCGGCAGGGCCAACGGACCTTGAGGGGTGCTGAGGGACAGGATCTTCTTAATGCCCACTGAGAGAGGAATGAATTGACATCCACCAGTCAAGAAAGTGGCACTTCGTTGCCTGGCAGAATGAGGAAGGGAAGAAAACAGATGGTCTTACCTCAGAGAAATAATTTATACAAATCTTACATGAATCTGTGGCTTCTCTGGAGTCTTCACATAGCTTTATTACTAATGTTATTACTACTACAGGAAGGTTCATGCACAGGACTGTGTTCTGACCAGCTGCATTTGGCTTCTCCCTTCAAAAGCAAGATGGGGTTTTAGCCCTCAGTGTGCTTTCCATGCTTAGAACTAACAATTAGGTTGAAGTGGCTTGATTCTTACCTAAATGCCCCTGTGCCTGTAGGGACTGCGCCTTCCAAAGCTGGCACTGACATGCGTGCAGGGGAAGAAACACAGCAGGATACCTTAGGAGGCTATTCTTGTACCACCAGTCCTTGATCTCTTGGTTTCCCATGATGGTTGTTAACCAAGTTGTCAGGGTGAGCAAAGGTTGTTTGAATGTGCCTGTGTTTAATGGAAATCCTGTTGTGAATGGGTGCACGCACAGAGTCCCCTCTGTCACTTCTTCTGTTGGGATCTAAAACGGATCCTCTGTAAGTTACTGCCTTTCTCAGTTAGTAGCAATGTGCACTTTAATTCAAGTACAGATGCGAGTTCATCCATATCTTAGCAACCTGCTAGGGGTAAATCGCGCTGGGCTCGGAGGAGGACGTGGTTTACAAGTGAAGAACATCGCTGTTCATGGCACTGCCCAGTAAGGAGCCCTGAAAGGAGCACAAGTGAACTGCAGCAGGCTGGGGTGGGTGGGGGGGAGCTTTTCTGCTGTCCCAGCTGTGGGTGCAGCTTCTGCTTTGGTTGGAATGGAGAGCAGTGTTTCACATTGGTGTTATTGCATTCCTCTGCAGGGACATTCCAGCTATATTACACACCTTGACTGGTCCCCAGACAACAAGTATATAATGTCAAACTCAGGAGACTATGAAATACTATACTGTAAGTATGAAATGAAATCCGCTGGAAACAGAATGTATTAGCTGCCAGAGGGGTGTGTTTGATCAGAACTGTGCAAAATGCTTGCTGACAAAGGAGCCAATCTGGGCTCGTGTAACCAGATATCTTGATGTTATTCAGAGCTGTGTATTACCTAATGGCAATGCCAAATATAGCTTACTTCTTTACAAGGTCATAAATCAGCTTCACGGCATAGAATGTACAGAACAAGTGGCCCTGTGTTTTGGTGTTGGCCCAAAGTTGCATAGATTGAACATAATATATACAGGTGTCTAATTAGTGTCAACAGTAACCAGTGATTCTGGGGGGAGAAAATCAGTGCCACTGGTCTCTTCTGGGCTTTCCTTTTTGAAACTCTCTCTTAGCTAGTGGTGTTGAAAACGAAGCAAAGCCATAATTCTGCTTTAATGGGTTAGTATGAAGAATGGGTTTGTCTTTTCTAACGTATGGAAATACGAATTTATAGCGGTTATGTCAAAAGTGTGTTTGACTTGTGCAGAGCAGATCAGTCTGGTTTTCCATTGACTTTTGTATGCTTGTCTTCCTGTGGCTTTAACTGGATCCAGGAGGATTGTAGCTCTGTTCGTGGACAGGTGAGAAGAGCCAGCAGTTCAAATATCTCTCAGCTTAACGTGTTCTTTGTGCCTGGCACAACTTAGGTTTCAGATCTGGGTAGTGCAGTATCTCAGTGTACCAAAAGGGAGTGTTGGTGCTTACAGTTGCCTGTATGGGGAAGCAAAGAGCTGTGACCCGTTAGTAATGTTGGGATATTACAAGATGGGCAATCTTTCTTTTCCTAGCTAGAAGCTGAAGAGCAGCCTGAGGCTGCTGTGCAGCAGTTGCTCACTCTTTCCAAAGCACAGCTTCCTGAATCCTCGGTTAAGTTTTAGCATACCCATGGAGCTGGTAGGAAGGAGGCACTGTCCTCTTGCAGCCTCTGTTAAAACAGTTTGTAGAGTAGGTAGCGGGGGACTCAGGCTGTAGGGAAGAGGTTTTGAGGCACCCTGATCTGAAGAGGGAAATGAGAAGCGAAATGTGACTCATGTATCAAGCAAAGCTTCGAGTAGCTGGACTGTGATAAAGGTACTGCTCTGTCTTTGCCTCTGCGATATGATTCCAGATTGATTTTAAGATGCATTTATTTACTGTCTTAGCACCTTCAAAGCACGCTTACATGACTATAACTTTATATGGCATAACTCATCATGCACTTCTTTTACAGGGGACATTCCAAGTGGCTGTAAGCTAATCAGGAATCGTTCTGACTGTAAGGATATAGATTGGACAACATACACTTGCGTGCTAGGCTTCCAAGTGTTTGGTAAGCACCATCTAAACTTGCTTTGAAGCTATTCATGCTGTGCTTTGTGTTTGCTTTTGCTTCAATTTGTCGTTAGAAAGCCAGTTAATGATTGTTGAGGATGGTGCTGAGATGACAGACCGAAGAGGCTGGCCACAATATTGTCTGTGATACAGAGCAGTGGATGCGCTACCGAAAATGTGCTGTTGATTTCTATTTAGTCTTGAAGTTTGGGATTTGATTTTTCTGCTGACATTTTAGGCTACCAGCTTTGGAGGCACTGAAGCAGAAAGCTGGTATTTTAAAGTGCTCATTTGACACATGTGCCTTCTCCTTTGCTTACCTTATCTTGGGGCTAGGAACAAGACTATGTGAGTGTAGGTTATAGCTCATGACTTCAAGTCATGACAGCATGCTGATACCTGTAGTCAAAGGTGGGTAATACATACTGCTGAAGACAGCTGTTTGCCATAAATGAGGAGCTCCCCTGGGAGTTAAAAAGTAGGACTCAGCCTGGCAGTGTTGTAAAGCCAAGTTGTGCGAGCAGGATGCTGAATGTCTCGCTTCCATCGCAGAGATCACATACCTGCCTCTGTTCTTCATGTTGGAAACTTCAAAAGCAGGTAAATCATCACGTTCTTTAGAGGTAAGGGTTAGGCCTACATATCTTTTCTGCACGTTGGCTAGGAGTTCAGTTTTGAATATCAGTTATATGCAGGGTAGAAGACTATCAGTAGGTCTGAGTGCCTTCTGACACCTATCATGCAGATTTTAGGACTGTCCTGTGCTTCATGAGCAAGTGGCCTGAAGTGCTTGTTGCTGGTTAGATCACAGAATCCCAGCACCATCAGTGCTCTGGAGCTCATCCTGTCCAACCCCTGCCAAGGCAGGGCCACCCAGAGCAGGGCACACAGGAACGTGTCCAGGTGGGTTTGGGATGGCTCTAGAGAGGGAGACTCCACAACCCCCCAGGCAGCCTGTGCCAGGGCTCTGCCACCCTCACATAAAGAAGCTCTTCCTTGTGTTGAGGTGACTCTTGTTGTGGTTCAGTTTATGGCCATTGCTCCTCATCCTGTCACTGGGCACCACTGGAAGGAGTCTGGCACCATCCTGCTGCCACCTCCTTTGAGATACTGATCTGCATTGATGAGATCCCCTCTTGGGCACTGTTCTCTGCACTAACCAGGCCCAGCTCCTGGAATCTCTGCTCACAGGAGAGATGCTCCAGACCCCTGAGCATCCTTGTGGCCTCCTCTGGACCCTCTCCAGCAGCTCCTTGTCTGTCTTGTGCCAATGAAAAACACGTCTCCCATTAGCCTGAGGACTGTGAACCAGGTCGGGTATGTGCTTGGTTTGGCTTTATTCAGTCTGTCTGGTTGAAGTAGAAGGGGAATGGCTGTTCCCTCCTGATGCTCTGTCCATGTAAGCCTAGGCTGACAGGGGACTGGCCCACAGCAGTTATTTCCTCACTGCCTTTGCTTCTGAGACTGAAATAATAGTGCAGCACAAATGCCTTGCTTTAAAGGGAGTATCAGAAGGTTCAGGAGATGCTGGAGGAAATAAAAATCAAAACTGATGCTCATATAATGTCTTTCTCCAAGAGCAATGAGGAAACTTTGTAAGGACTGAATATTCCTTCTGGAATAGCCTTGGAGCTGAAGCCATTTTACGTTTCATGCAGAGTACTTGAATCTGCCAGAAGCGTGGAGGCAGCAGACAGTGGCTCTGTTGCCACTGAACTTCTACCATTACATTTGGTGCTAGAGCAGACAGGGAGCTGCTTTGAATCCCAGCAGTTTCCCAGAAGTCCTTTACTCCTGACCTAAGGAGATGAGGTGTGGGAGTGCAGAAGGAGTCTGGTTTCACAGAGACCGTTGGCTCTGTGTCTTCAGCAGTTCTTGGACAGAAGCTAAGTGCTAACTGGAGCCAGGCTGGAGATGGGCAGCTCCCATAACCACTGTTTGGAGAAGCCTCCCTGCTTGTTGTTTTCAACGAGTGGCTCGGTCAGCTGATCCTGCCTGCATTCCCTTTTGGATTCATACAGACTTTAACCACTCTGAATCAATCTCAGCTGCTCTCGGAATCGTCCGTGTGCCAGAGGGGCTGCGAGTGAAGCAGACAAAGCAGATAATGTGATGTTATTCTGGGGCAGAACAGAATGTATTTAACCTTCCAGCCAAAATTCATCATGTTCAGTTTTATATTGTCTGGGAGGCTGACACCCTTTGCAGAGACTCAAAATGCTGCTCGGCCTCTGACAAAGGCAAGGATTTTCCCATTAAATCAGACAGTGCAGCTCAGCCAACCTAGCAGGTATTTGCTGCCCAAAGGAGAAGTCTGGCTTTGACTCGAGGGTCAGCTGGCTCAGGGATCCAAACAAGCCAGGGCTGCTCACTTTGATGTTCAGGAAAGAGGGTTAAGTTTATGGGATTGGGACTTTGAGGGTGTGTGTTTTACTAATTTAGCTCTGTGGAATAGTGTGTCCGTAGGCTCAGGTGTTGGGTTGAAAGGATTGAAATGCCTGCCTCAGATGAGAATAGCATCACTCCTTTTTGGCGCTTGGTATCACTACGTTGGCTCAGCAGTCTCCTTAATCTGCATCCCGAGCACTTGAAGCCACTCTCTCATTTACTGCACATTTCCCACACTTCCATCCGAACAGATTCTTTCAAGAGGCTTGCTGCTGGCAGCACAGCCCCTTAAAATGGAAGCACTGCCCTCGTACCTAATAACAAAGTCCTGTGGGTTTTATTGCTTTTCAAGTTAAGAACTTGGCCGTATAAATGCTTTGGGTTTTCCACATTTGCCTGCTGCATTGAAAGCAGATCCTGCTGTCTTATGACAAAGGGTTGCCTTACCTTTAGAGCTGGTAAAGGAATTTGTGAACACAAAAGATGTTAAATGCAGGCTTGAATATTAGTCTCTTTAATCTGAAATGAGAAAGAAGAGGCGATGGCATAGCTGTTTGGCACAGCGTGCGTGCGGTGGTAGGTGAAACCAGGAATCTGGTGAGAAGTTGGTGTATGACTCCCACCTGATGTGACAGGATTTTATATATAGAATGCAGGAGAAAGTTAAAATGCGTTCATTTGGAAAGTTCTTAAATATCTATTTTTCAGATTGATTTCAGTGATGTGAGAGCACTACAATGATTTGAAATACGTGCCTTAGCGTTTCATGTCTTAGCACATTAGCCACAACGTAGCTTGCTGGCATTGAAACAAGCTGCCTTTGTTATTCTGCAGAGAAAATCAAGTTCTTACTCCACCCACTGAAGAATGGGGGGAAAAAAAACCAACTTTCAAATTAAAATATATTTGCCATTTTGCATAAAAACAAGGCCAAGTGGGGGAGTTGGAGAAGAATCAGGCAGTTCTAAGCTGATGTTTTGTGCTGTTATGACATGGACAGCACATGGGGGTTCATTTTAACCAAAGTCAGTGACTATAAGGGAGGAAGAAGAAGATCTTTTCCTGCCTGGTAGGGAGCATCCCTCTTCAGTGAGTCAAGGACACAGTTATTCAGGATGTGAAATTTGAGGGGGGAAAGTTCCTTCTAATACTTGGACCTCTCAGAAGCCCAAATCTGAGCTGAAAAAATATGGCACCTTTGGCATAAGTTACTGCCTTGCTTGCCTTTTGCTGGGCTTTATTTGCAGCTGTGAAGCGGCAGTTTTGCTATGGGCATCTCTAGGTTCTTTATTTACTGTTAAAATGAAAGCCTCCCCCCTCCCCAGTCTGTTCAGTGCATTTCATCCAGGCCCTGTTGTTACTCTTTTGTCTAGAGGTAGCTGTGTCATTCTTGTCACTTGAAAGCATATTGAATTGTGCTTAAGCACTTGACAGCACTTACATCCAGGAAACTCCTGCAGGCTGCCTCTCTGTGCAGAGTGTCATCAGGCTCCTCTGAATCACGCAAATACTCAGACTTAAAAGACGGCCAGAAGAAACCTCTGCATCCTCTGTGTTGTCCCATGCTCCAGACCAGCCTTGCTTTTAAACCCTTAGAGCACAGACAGAAGTGTTACCAGTTTTAGCGGCAAACTTAATCTTGAAATAAGCTTTAGGCAAGACTAAGGCTTTGAAGAGGAAACTTACGGTAAGTCCAAGAGGATTTCCCAGCCAAGGCTGAGAGGGCCTGGGGGAGCAGCATTAGGCTAGCAAAATATTAATACCATTTAATGCAAGACATACTCCAGCTTTCAGCTGAATGCCTTTTGTTAAGCTTCTCTTTTCTCCCAGCTTCTGAAAACTGCCATCACTAAATACCTGCTCTGCTCTCTCCTAGGAGTTTGGCCTGAGGGATCAGACGGGACAGACATCAATGCCCTTGTCAGATCCCGGAACCGAAAAGTGATAGCAGTTGCTGATGATTTTTGTAAGGTCCATCTCTTTCAGTATCCCTGTTCCAAGCCAAAGGTAAGTCTCCATCCAGCTCAGTCGTTGTGGAAGCTGGCAGCCAAATTTGTATCTGCCAAATTTACTGCTCGTTTACATCTGAGAACAGTGCGAGGGACAGAAATATGGTTTTCCCCAGTAGGTTTATATAGAAAATATATAAAATATCACATACTATACCTGAAAGTGAACTGACAGTAGTTATCCTTAAGTTCTGGAGCAGAGACCTGACACGTTCCGTTTGCTGGCCTTGGTGTTAAGGCCATTGCTTTTTGCATTAAGGTCGAAATCAGTCCCAAGCTACAAGCCTTAAGAAGGGAGGGTATATTGTTGGGTGAGCCTAATATAAATGCAATAAATGAAGGGGGCTGCAAGGGTGCTAGAGAAGGACTCTCCAAGGGGGACTGCAGCCATAGGACAAGGGGTGATGGGTTCAAACTGAAACAGGGCAAGTTCAGGTTAGATCTAAGGCAGAAGCTCTTCCCTGTGAGGGTGCTGAGGCGCTGGCACAGGGTGCCCAGAGAAGCTGTGGCTGCCCCATCCCTGGCAGTGTTCAAGGCCAGGTTGGACACAGGGGCTTGGAGCAAGCTGCTCTAGTGGAAGGTGCCCCTGCCGGTGGCAGGGGTTGGAACTGGAGGAGCTTTAAGGTCCCTTCCAACCCAGACCAGTCTGGGATTCAATGATTTGTATTTCTGCTTCTTTCCAACAGGCTCCAAGTCACAAATACAGCGCTCACAGCAGCCATGTGACAAATGTCAGCTTCACCCACAGCGATTGCCACTTGATTTCAACTGGAGGGAAAGACATGAGTATTATCCAGTGGAAACTCGTGGAGAAGGTCACTCTACCCCAAAATGACCTTGTCGTAGACATCGGTGCCACCAAAGTGCCCATCCCTGCCGGTGACAGCGCTGCCCAGTGCCCTGCTCCTCTGCCACAGCCTTTCAATGACATGAACCAAACTGAAAGCGTAACTGGCAGCTCCCCAGCTTCCTTGGAGAGCAACTTGGAGCAGTCTGCAGAGGCCAGCGAGGAGCAGAGTGAGGAGCAGAGCGAGGGGAGCAGCCTGGATCCCACCGAGCCGGGCTATGAGGAGCCCTGCAACGAGATGAGCGAGGAGCACAGCGAGTCCACGGTCACCGAAGAGCAGCAGGATAACTCACCGGTGTCCTAACGCGCCCAGCTCAGGCGGTTGTGGTTTCTTTTGGTGTGCGTGCTTTCATTACAGGGTGAGGGTTCAAATAGGGAGAAGTAGCTGAGATTCGTGACCACTCCAGCTTTTTGAGTTTCAGTGAGATTTTTATAGTCTGAGCTTCAGTTCGATGCGTGGAACCATCCCAAGGGCCTGGCTTGATGGTCTTGTGTCAAGATCCGGTCACAGTTAGTAGTGGACATTATCATAGATCCATTTCAGTTCTGAAATTGCTGTCAGGAAGCGGCATGAAGTACATACTGGAGAAGAAGGTTAGCTCTGGGAATTAGCTCGAGTAGACCACCTTACAACTATGTGAAAGTGCTTTCTGAAAGAGCTAAGCTGCTGGGAGGCACTGAGCTGCTCCAGCTGGGGAGCGCTGTGACAAAAAGACAACCAAAAAGCTCCTTGGCGGGGCTGTTTTCCTTTGCTTTTTCTTCATGAGAAAAAGAGGAAAAACAAGGTCGTGATGCCACGTGTATGGCAATGCCTTCTTGACCCAACACGTATGCAATTTTCTAACACTACTAATTCCTAGTGGAGTCTGGATGTGTTGGCAGTTGGTCTGCCCTGGGTGCTGCTAGTTCTAAGGCAAATCCTGTCAAGGAGCGGTGTTGGCTGTTCCGTTTTCAGGCTGGTTAATAACAGACTAACCCAGTGCTGTCGTGTTTCACTTTTCATGACCTGAAACTGTAGGGTGTCGTTATCTCTTCAAGGAATTGCTTGCCTAGAGAGTTTGAAGCTTCAAGAGGATCTTTACGGTGACTTTGACGTGAACAGCAGAGGAAGCAGGACGAGAACACACAAGTCAGATGGGCTCCAGAGTTACACGTTAAGCCTTCAGTCAGAACTTGCTCCATCCCTAGTAGGAGAACTATAGATACAGTTAAATTATTAAATTGGTGCTTAGCATTAGTGCATTCAGTTGATAATTCTTTCTTCTGCGTTTGTAGAGGGAACTCTTAGGAGTCATTAAACTGCAATCTCTACTTTTTGGTTCCCCCCCTGCCCCGCTGGCTCCGTTTCAGTTGGAATAGAAGCACACAGGAATTTAGATGAGGAGGATGATGTGATTTTCTCTTTTCTTTTTCTCCCCCCCCCCGACTTGCTGATTTCTTGGTTTTGTGCTCTTGTTTGTTTGTTTGTTTCCACCCCCCTCCCCGGGTTGCTCTAAGCCATGCAGCTCTCATGTGGCTCTACCTGGCCAGTTACGGGATATCTTGGCATTTGTTATGCATTTGGAAAGTACCTTTTTTTTTTTTTACCAAGTTTGTCCGATAGCTACAGTTTTCCCTTAAGTACATACGTTTCCTACTTTAAAGAGCTATAGACTTACTGACAGATAGCCATTTCCTATGTACTTGTTTATATTTTGATTACATAGAATTCTCTTCTTTTTTAACTCGCTGCATCGTGCTGGTATTTTAGTTCTTAGGTAGGATATCATGTTTAGAAACTTTGGATGAGTTCATAAGTCTTAATTGTGCAAGCGTTTACGTGATTGTGCCATTCCAAAGTGCATCAAAACTGTCATTCCCTTACTAGTATCTTCTCAGGAGAAATGCTACAGATCAGGTATTTAGTCATCATTTGGAAAGAAAAAAAAAAAACAAACAAATGGACTCCCAAAGGACATTTAGAACATTTATATATAAAATATATAAATATATATATACACACACATATATATATTAAAAAAAAATTATCCTCTTGTTTACAACAGTTCCAGAAAACCTCAAAGTAATTCCCTTCAGATGGAGGGAGATGTGGATTCCAAGCAACCCATCTGTTCAAACTGTGCTCTGTAGATAGAGTTGTATTGGAGAGCTCGAGTTTGCCTGCCTGATGTGCAGCTTTGCCAAATAGCAGCAATTCAAGAGAAAGGTCAGCTCAGTGGAGGTCTTGGTTCCAAATGAGGAGTATGCTGTAGGATTAGGAAAGAACCTTAGGAAAGGAAGGGTTGTGCAGCTGAGGAGGCACAGAGCTCTCTCTCTGTCGGTTTCATGAACGCCACATAACGCAACACATTTCGTTTTGGGACATCTGTCACCTGGGGTTGCCACGTAAAGTGAGAGTTATAGTTGTGATACTCTTGTGTTTGTAGTGCAGAAGACTCTACTAATATGCAAAAAGCCTTACAGCTTTCCATTGCTGGCAACTACTGTTTAACAAATAATGAAATCTGTGATAATGGATGGAAATGGGTGGGATTATGTAACTGTAGATGTTCTAGAGAACTAATTGTGAATGAGTTCTGATTCCGAGTGTTTCATGTGAAGATGTTTGAGCCATTTCTATCTATCATGCATTCCTGTCTCAAGGCAGAACGTTTTGAAGATTAAATAATAAAATCATCAAAATAATATGTGGCAGTGTCTTTGTTCTGGTTCCTTCTGTGTGCAGAGTGTGCACTGGGGTCCCAGGTCATGCCTGGGACTTATGGGGACTGTGGCTTTAGGAGAACCTTTGGAACTTGTGCCTTTTCCGTAGCCTCCCAGACTAAAACTAAGTTAATTCAGCATCAGGACTAATGCTGGCAGTGCTGAATGTTCATCTTGTGGGCTTTCAGTGCTCAAGGCCAGGTTGGACACGGGCTTGGAGCAAGCTGCTCCAGTGGAAGGTGTCCCTGCCCCTGGCAGGAGGTTGGAACTGAATGAGCTTTAAGGTCCTTTCCATCCCAAACCAGGCTGGGATTGTATGATTCTATGTCTGCCTTCCACGGTTCTGCCAGAAGTTTCCTTCTGGAAGTCATGCAAAAAGGCCAAGTTTACTTTGGATGTAACATGGTAAATACCATGATACTTCCACATTCCTGGTAGTCTCTGTCCCAGTGCAGATGTAAAAGGTCACAACATGCTTCAGAGACTCCTTGTGAGAGGTTCTCAGTCTTTTGAAAGGCTTTGAGTCATCTCTATTTCTTCCAGCTGGTTTCTGTCCTTCACAAACAGGGAGGGTGGGTTAGAGAAGAAAGGAACCTGCAGGAGATGAAGACCTCATGTTCCTTGCTTACAGGGAAGAACCCAACAAACCCCCATCACCGTCACCCCTGCGTTTGAGTGGAAACCTCAACAACTCTTAATTTCCCACCGTACTACCAGGAAAATGCTGCTGTTCCAGCCTGAGCACCAAGCAGATGGTCTGAGGTGGGGCTGTGCTGTTCCAGGCTCTCCAGAATCAGCCCAAGGCTTTGCCACCCCTTCCCCTGGGATGTTCGGTAAGGCAGGAGGTAAGGGGTCTTCTGTGGGGCCTCTCTTGTGGTCGAGGTGAGCGAGGGCTCCAAGAGCCCTCTCTGTTTGGGAGGACAGCATCACTTCAGGTAGTGGCAGTGATAGTGTCAGCCATGTGGGGCTGAAGGTGAGGGTGGAAACTCCACTGAAGGCATCAAACTCGCAGCATCCCATTTAACATGTTGAACGTTTACATTCAAACCCTGCCTTAGAAGACATCAGTTTAGTGCAGCGATGCACTTGAGTGGTATGAAATGCCAAGCTCAAGTAAGTGTCCACGGTGGGCACGTGCCGTGCAAAGTAATGTGAATGGGGGGTTATGTATAAAGGGCACTTAACAAACACGTACTTGAGTTTGTTCTGTTTCTCCACAGCAGTTCCGGGACAGGTGAAGAAGAGGCTGGGATGTGGATGGGTAAGGATGAGCCAAGAGGTTTTGCTGTAACTCTCCTAGATAACAAGTGTTTCCCTGCACTGCAAGTCAAATCCCAGCCTCTTCCTGTTTCAGTCATCCCCACAGTGCCTGCACTCTGGCAGCACAGCAACAACTCCAGTTTGACTGTTACACTGATCACAGTCTGTACTGGTCAATACGTTGTACCTTCTGCCTCACTTACCCCTTATATTCACTTCAGTTCGGTGCGGTGTCTCCGCTGGATCAGGCTGTACGTAAGTACAATGTGAGATTTAAGGTTGGCTGAGCCAAGCAAACACCAAATTCTCCTTTCCGGTGCCTCGAGCCAACAAGACCTTGGTTCCCAGCAGTGAAAGGATTAACATGGCACGAGGTGGCCATTCCTGAGGCGGGGTTTGCTCTGCGTGTTTGCTTTCCTCCTGCGCAAGCCTCAGCCCGTTGCCTGAGCTCTGTTTCTGACAGATGGTTTCTACTAATGCTTTAATCAGCTGAGACTGGAGAACTGCTTACAGTAGGATTATACAGTACAGAAGACTGGGCAGGGTGCATACAGTAATGTAGATCATGTGCATGGTGTGTCTGCGTGTGCGTGCAAGCAGCAAACGCGGCTGCTCAAAGCTTTGGGGCTTTTTGTTTGGAAGGGGAACACGGATGACTTCAGGCCGCAGTGTATTAAGAAGGTTTAGGAGCTTTCCCAGTGGGAGGGCAAGGCAAGAGGACTGGGAGAGGTGCGGTGGAGGGAGTGGTTGTACCGGAGCTGTTTCCGAGGTTGGGCCCCTGGTACCCTCCTGTGCGGGTCTGGCTCTATCACTGCAGTCCCTGATGAAGAGTCCCTCTCCAGCACCCTTGTAGCCCCCTTCAGACACTGGAAGCTGCTCTGGGGTCTCCACGCAGCTTCTCTTCTCCAGCCGGAACAGCCCCAGTGTTTTCAACCTGTCTCCATAGGAGAGGTGCTGCAGCCCCTGAGCATCCTCATGGCCTCAACTGTTGGTTTTGGGGACAGCTGTAAAAACACCCTTTCTTAGTGAATTCTCAATGACTGAATTAGTCCCATTGTCCCAGCCTTAGTTTTTCATAAAATGCCTTTAAGTTACCATTTCTAGGACATGCTTTTGTCTGATGAGCCCGATAAGCGCTCCAGGGAGCTCTTGCAATGCCCTATCCCCTGTTGTGGGATGCTCCATCATCCGCTGTTAGTGTCACACATCTCTTGTTTTGCCTTGCTCTGGCTCCTCATTGTCACAGAGCACACTCCCTGCTCTGTGCATCGCTGATCACCCAGGCTAGAAGCAAGAGGCGACATTTGCTTTTGCTGCTGCTTCAGAATCCGGTTCACCTGTAAATCTGCTGTCTGGTCATTCCAGTCAGTTTCCATGCGTGTGTGGAGGCTTTATTGTATGTCCCCATTGTATTCACAGCTATAATGTTTAGTCTCTCCTAAGAGCATTCCCACTTCCCTGTTTCTCTGTTCTCAACGGTGACCCTACAAGCCTCGCACTTCTCTTCCACCATGGAACTGTCACTCTCCAGCGTGTCCCAGGGGTAAGGAGCTGTGTCTGTGATGGAGCGAGGCACCTCATGGCAGTTTTCCTCCCTGTCCCCATGGATCAGAGGGATATCAGGCAGCCTTAAGCTTAAGGAGGGTAAGGGAGCGCAAATGCTTTGCTCAGACTTTACTGAAGGGGAGCAGACAGAAGTGGGATGGGTGGAAACCGGTCCCAGTTGTATCAGCTGGAAGTGAGGGGAGGGAATGGCTTTCAATGGCCACGGAGCATTTTAGCTGAGGCTTCTTGTTCTGTAGAATGCCTGATCCTTGTTCAATGGGATGTGCATGAGCCCCCCCCTTCCTGAGTGTTCCCCGTTTGTGGAACCCACAGGCCTGGAGATCCCCTGCTCTGTGAATCAATCAGAACATGCATTCACCTTCTGACATGCGAGCTCCACTGACATTCCATTCTCGTTTCCCAAACCTGGGGCAAAGGGGATCCTTTTAAGAGCCCTGTCTGCAGCACAGCCACCTCATCTCCAACTGCCGTGCTGAGTCTCTGTTTAGCATTAGCAGTAATACCTGTGTGCGCAGGATGCTGACTCTCTCCGCTCTGCATTCTGCGTTGCCCAGCTCCTTGAGGAACAATTCTATCCAGTGCAGTGCTGAAATCCAGGCTTTCTGCATCAATTCTGCCCACAGTGGAATCTGCAGTGTCAGCAGGACAGACAGTGCCCACCCATGGCATGGGTGCAGCTCATACCCATCCCGCACCAGGAGAAGAGCAGTAAGAGCAGTCTGGCATAGAGGTAACTGTCCCCATTGCAATCACTGCACAGCTCTGCCTGCTCCCTCTTCTTTCATCAGCAGCTTGAGA